AATTGTTGCACTTTAAGAGTATTCACTCTTTAATACAGACAACTCTTGTCGAATTGATCATCTTTAGAATCATCGTTGAATGGATCTTAGGAGACGAACAGATATTCATTCATTCTATGACTTGGGGTTACCTTAGGTTATTTACTCTCCAAGGTCATTTTGGTCATTTTATAGTTCATGGGTATTCAGTTATTTTCTTCGATTCAAACATATGCATCATTCTAGTAATTTATTTATTAGGTGGTTTTCCAAAAACCATAAATTCTAAATCTTTTGCCATCTTGGAGGTTAGATATCGGTTATCTATATTTTCTAAGCAAAATTAGCATTTTCCATGTACATCAGTAGTTTCATCGGATCAATATATCTTTTCGGAGTTATTTTTCAACTTCTAGGGACAATTCTTGTCTTTTTACAACATAATGGTATTTTCGTAATTTTACCCCTTAAGGGTATTTACGTAATTTTACCTAACCAAAGTATTGTCATAATTTCCCATCCAAGTACCTTTGGCATTTAACCTTTAATGAGATAAATCAGAATTTACAAATCTAGAGGTTGATTGCTTTACCACTTAATCATAGAACTTGTAATTTAATTCTTATCGATCCCTCAATTTCTTAAACGAGTCATCTATGTCATATTCATTTACCGACTTTTTATCATATTCGGATCGAGTTTAGAAATAATTTACTATATAGATGAGACCAAACATATTCATCCATGTATTTACCAATTACAACATGTTCCATAAAACATGCATAAGGTAGCAATGTATTACCTTGATTTTTGTGCTCCACCGATCAAACATTTAAACTATATTCGATCACTCTCGAACTTGAATTCAATGTCCAATAATTCCTCGGATACATAGCAAACGAATTTACATTAGAAACTGAATTTAATTGAGAAACCAAATTGAATTCGAATGTAAACCTATGAAAATGCCTTACCGAGTGCGAATTTTGGCAAAACGGACTTCAGATTTAGACTCAGGACGTCGAAAAACATAAAATAAGACTTTTAGGAAAATTTGACTTTTTTTGTCAAATTCAACGGTCAACGATCATACATGTCAAAGTCAATGGTCAGACCGGTTAAGAAGTCGAGTCAAAGTCAACAGGTCACATCGAGTTGACTCGTTTTGGGTCAAATAGACCCGGTTCAGACCTATTTTGGGTCAGTTTAGACCGGTCCAGACCGACTAGACCAGTTATAGAAGGTTTCTAGGGCTGGGGAACAAGCCCCACGCACATGCGGTGACACATGACGATGGTGACGGGTCAAGGGACGGTTGTCGATTACTCCCTGTTCGATCCCAACATCCATTTCATCAAAAAATAATCCAACAACTATCGTTAAATACCACAAACAACCAAAAAAATAACCGAACTTACCCTAACTCTGACGATCGAGAAAACGACAGCAATGGATCGACCCAAGTGCTAAGTCCTAAATAAATGCTCGACAAAAGAACAATGCAAAATCAAAAACATAATAACATTGAATGAGGCCCAAACACGTAAGTAAACCAAAACATATACTATTAATTAGAGTGGTGATTAAAATATAAACCAAATAAAATTATAAGCTCAAAACATAAATAAATAAAACTCCCTATAGGGACCAGAACGAAATGTTACAAAGAACGAGACCCTTCCTGCGTGAATATCCCTTTTCATAACCCACAGGTTTCCTTAGAACACCAAAACGATGTCATTTTGAAGCCCCCTCATATACCCTATTATAGGTTCTGGGGAAAACCTAACCTCATCATTTTACAACTCAACTGCTTGCTCTCCTCTTTTACTCTTTTCTTTCTTTTTCACGAATAAAGGGGAAACAAATACCCTAACTGACCACCATGGAGGTTTTCTCCGGTGACCGTGAACCAACATCGATCAGAGACAAATCAGTCCCAAACGACTTTCTCTAGCCTAGTTTGAATATAAGGCCTCCTTTTGCTAGAAAAAAGCCACCAAACCTAGATCTAGAAGTTTACCTTCGAATAGCTCACATCCCGATAACTTTTGGGTTCTCCGACGAACGATTAGCCTCCTGATGAACACCTAAACAAGCTAAGTCTTCTCTTCTTCTTTTTTTAATGTTCTCTTTTCTTTTTCCTTTTTTTAATCTCCCTTCTCTTAGGGTTTTTCTCCTCGTTTTCTTTTTTTTTCCCAAAACCGAATCCTTCTTTCTTCTCTTCTCCTTGTATGTTTTATCTGAATTCTTTACATGTTTGGTGATGATTCGATAAGACTTCTTTATAGGGGCATGATTTCCCCTAAATCGAACAGTTAACATCCCAAATTTCTCATGATTTAACTTATTTTTTAATGGGTTTGGTGTAGATTTAAACTGATTTGTTTGTTTTTTCATTGTTTGCATAGATTATGATGTTGGGTAGTTGAAACAGTGGTTTTTAGATGATAGGAACCGATAAACAAAATAGTGACGGTGACGAGATCCTTCTATTGCTGGCGGCGGCGGTGGCTGGAGACTAGGAAAGCTAGGTGTTGGGATTTTGCGGAAGCTTGAATCGACAACCGAAATGATTTGCAAAGAGGGGTCGAAATGGTTTTTGTGTTTAAGGAGTAAGGAGATTGAAATATAGAGAATTGCATAGCGATTTATAGTGGTTTGACTTCTCAACCAAGTCTATATCCACTACCTTAGCTCCTCACCAAGGATTTTCCAACAAATTCACTAATTTGTTTTTTATTTTTAAGGACAAAGAGATAACCTTTACAACTCCCTAGTTTTCCCGGGATAAACTAGAACCTTTCCCTAGCTTTTACACAGACTAAGCTAGAACCTTTCCCCTTTACAAAAGGATAAAAGAATTAAAGAAATAAACCTCTCAAAGGTAGGTGTTTACAAGAATTAAGCTCACAAGAATAAATATTTATAAGAGAAAGGAAAATAAGAATAAAAAGCTCTTCTCTTGTGTTTGATTGCTTGGATATTTGTTCTCTTACTTCTTTAAGTGTCCTCAGCTTGTATTTATAGCTTGAAATGAGTTTGAAGTCGTATATAGCCGTTGGGGATGTTTTGGAGCCGTTTGGGGATTGTTTTTTTTTATAAAAATAGGTTGCCCAAAACAGAGTGTATTGGTATACTATCAAGGTGTTATCGATACCCCTTCATTAAATTCAAATTTTATGACTGTTGGGTTATGTGAACAGTGAGTGTATCGGTACAATGTAGCAGTGCATCGGTACACTAATTACATTCGATGTTTTTTAGCATCGGTAATATTCATTACTATTCACACAGTATCGGTATTGTTCATTAAAACTACTCAAATTATAAATTAAAACTCTTTACCTTTAAAATATTTCATGTTTAACCGATAGAGATTAGTTCAACTAGTAAGTTGTTTGATATCGATTAAGCAATGCCTCGAGTTCGAGTCATTGTATATGCAGAAAATCTCTGTTGGGAGACTCACCCACTAAAACCAGTTGTCCAACACGGGTCAGTCCGAATTAGTCATTATATATGAAAATAATTACTAAATGAAAATAAAGACATATATACATATGAATGTCCAACAAACTAGTTCAGATTAAAGGATTCATAGTATTAATAAAAAATATATTGTTATTGAAATTATGATTATATTGATGTCATTAATTAATTGAATGTAAACTCAGTTAAAAAAAATCGTTGAAATATCTTTTTACTTACTTAATATTTAAATATTATTATAGTTATTCAAAAAAAAATATTATTATAATAATAATTTTATTTTTTCATACTTTTATATGATCTTTAAATAAGATAACTAAAATATATTTACCTGTGTCAAACTCATTTTTAGTATAACCAATATATGAATATTTTACTACTCAACCTATAACCATTATTTGACAAATTTTCAAGAAAACATTTTTAATATAAAATGTTCTCTCTCACCCCGACGTAGGTGTGACAAAATTTAATATATTTTTAAAATTTCTTCTAATTTTTTAATTAATTTAAAATGAGTACAATGTAGTATCTGTAGTTCAAATAGCCAACTTAAATAAAAAATAAACTCTATTTATCATTAAATTAAACAACATATTTCTATATTATATTAAAAAATGTTTTTTATTTATTCTCTTTAAGATGTAGCATTTAATTGAATGATATAAAGTTTCATTAATGTAATTAATAAATTTAAAAAAGTCTTAGTCTCGAAACAGAAAGCTTAAAGAAATGTAAATTTTTCTGATTGTACGAGAAAGAGACTCTTAAAAATAAGGTACACGAGCAACATATTTACTTCTTGATGTAACTAAAAATATGGGTGTCCCGTCATAATTCAATTTAATTAATTAATTAATTAATTATGATTTAAAGGAAAATAGAAGACCAAAATATTTAAAGTGATCTTCGATCGAGTCAACTGTATCAAATTAAAAAAAAATTGAGTTTTTTGAGTTGATGAGTCTTATTTTATAACTCAAACTTTATTTATTTTTTGAATCAAGTCGAGTTATTCGAGTTTTTGTTTAAACTTAATTATAAATATTTATAATATTATGATATTATTTGATTATAATTTAAATGGTTTTCTATAATCATAGACAATACATATATATTTATTCATATTTTTTCAAACGTGATATACATATATCATATAAAGTTGAAGGATTCGATTCGAACATAAAAGCAAAACCACTAAATATTAAAAATTTCTGAGTTATTAGAATTCTGTTTTAAAATTAAATTTGAATTTTTTTTTAAGTTTATTAAATTATAAGTCAAATCAATTCGAATTAAATTTATTTTAACCATGTCAAGTAAAAAATATCGATTTTTCGAACTAAATAGTTTTGCTATCCTAAAAAAAAAATATCTATCACTAACCATTATTAACTTGACGTGTATGAATCTATGCCGTATGAACCACGTTATGCCCCATACACATACCCAAGAAGCGCATTAATTATAAATAGCTCAGCTTAGCTAACATTCCCTCCTCACCGAGTTGCCTGCATTTCTCTCTTCTCTCACACCATTCTTCCTGTTCCTCTAACTCCACACCTTCCGTACGTTTTAGATGGCTAATAGATACACACCAAAGAGCATCCTCATAACCGGAGCTGCAGGCTTCATTGCGTCCCATGTCTGCAATCGGCTCATCCGTAACTACCCGGACTACAAGATCGTGGTCCTTGACAAGCTTGACTACTGCTCGAGCCTCAAGAACCTGGACCCTTCAAGGTCATGTCCCAACTTTAAGTTCATCAAGGGAGATATTGCAAGTGCTGATCTGGTTCACTTCATCTTGCAAACCGAGTCCATCGATACAATCATGCACTTCGCAGCCCAGACTCATGTTGACAACTCGTTTGGCAACAGTTTTGAGTTCACTAAGAACAACATCTATGGAACACATGTTCTCTTGGAAGCCTGCAAAGTCACTGGCCAAATCAAAAGGTTCATCCATGTAAGCACCGATGAGGTTTACGGCGAGACGGATGAGGACGCTGTGGTGGGAAACCATGAGGCTTCTCAACTGCTACCTACGAACCCGTATTCGGCTACTAAAGCCGGAGCAGAGATGTTGGTGATGGCATATGGGAGGTCATATGGGCTGCCTGTGATAACTACTAGAGGGAACAATGTTTATGGGAGCAATCAATTCCCAGAAAAACTAATTCCCAAGTTTATCCTACTAGCGATGAAAGGGAAGATTCTTCCGATTCACGGGGACGGATCGAATGTGAGGAGTTATCTGTATTGTGAGGATGTAGCAGAGGCGTTTGAAGTCATTCTACATAGAGGTGAAGTTGGCCATGTTTACAACATTGGGACAAAGAAAGAAAGGAGAGTGATTGATGTGGCTACAGATATTTGCAGGCTTTTCAATTTGGACCCTGAGAACCACATTAAGTTTGTGGAGAATCGGCCTTTCAATGACCAAAGATATTTTTTGGATGATCAGAAGCTTAAAAGCTTGGGATGGTATGAAAGGACCACCTGGGAGGAGGGTCTCAGGAAGACTATGGAATGGTATGTTAGCAACCCTGACTGGTGGGGTGATGTCTCTGGCGCATTGCTACCCCATCCAAGGATGCTTATGGTGCCCGGAATCGAAAGGCAGTTCGATGCCCCTGATACCACCAACTTGGATTCGACACCCGTGACGAACAAATTCAGTCAAAGGAAGATGCTGGTCCCATCTACAAAACACAATTTACCATCTCAAAAGCCATCTCTCAAGTTTTTGATTTATGGCAGAACAGGTTGGATAGGTGGACTTCTGGGGAAGCTATGTGAGAAACAAGGCATACTTTACGAGTACGGAAACGGTCGTTTGGAGCAACGTTCTCAGCTTTTAGCTGATATCCAAACTGTTAAGCCAACCCATGTTTTCAATGCAGCCGGAGTGACCGGTAGACCAAATGTGGATTGGTGTGAAACTCATAAGCCCGAGACGATAAGAACCAACGTTGTCGGTACATTAACCTTGGCAGATGTTTGCAGGGAACACGGACTCCTAATGATCAATTACGCTACTGGTTGTATCTTCGAATACGATGCTACTCATCCTCTAGGAACCAGAGTCGGTTTCAAGGAGGAAGATAAGCCCAATTTCACTGGTTCTTTCTATTCCAAAACCAAAGCCATGGTATGCTAACTTAATCCAACACCCTTCGAGGATCCATTGATGCTTTTTTTCAAATTTGTCTATTGTTTTATACCAGGTAGAAGAGCTTCTGAGGGAATTCGTCAACGTATGCACCCTTAGAGTCCGGATGCCTATATCATCAGATCTCAGCAACCCAAGGAACTTCATCACAAAGATTACAAGATACAACAAGGTGGTTGACATTCCCAATAGCATGACCATATTAGACGAGCTTCTACCTGTTTCGATCGAGATGGCGAAAAGGAACTTGAAGGGGATATGGAACTTCACAAACCCTGGTGTTGTGAGTCACAATGAGATTCTGCAAATGTACAAGGACTACATTGACCCAAACTTCAACTGGGTTAACTTCACCTTGGAAGAACAAGCCAAGGTCATAGTTGCACCAAGGAGCAACAATGAACTGGATGCATCTAAGCTCAAGGAGGAATTCCCGGAGTTACTTTCTATCAAAGATTCACTCATCAAATATGTCTTTGAACCTAATATGAAAACTTCTGCTTTAAAGTAAGCACCATAAGTCTTTGAAGCCACCTCTGCTGCATTATCATGGGTAACATGATCCTCAATTACTTCATTTTTTTTTACTTTCATTCATCATGCAAGTGCTTTTGTTTGTTATCATAATAATTTGGCCATTGTGGCCCATTCAATAAAGTTCATTTTCACTTTTATTCCTACTCTATTGTTGTACTCATAGGCCATAGCTATTCAAATCACTGTGCTCCCACATGTTCAGGATTTATTATTGTACCGTCCTTGAAAACCCAATGATCATCTCCACCTAGATTTGAGGATTTAAATATAAAAATATAATTATTTTTTATATAATTATAAAAAGTTTAGTTCTTTAAACATGTTTAGTAATTTTCTCTAATTGTTCTAGCATTTAAACTTTGTTAAATTATTTTATCTCTGATATCTAATATATTTGGGGGGGAAAATCTTCCATGCACTCTGTATATAAATGTTATAAAACTAAATACACATTAATCATTGGTTACCCATATATGAATTGTTATTAATGAAAAAAACATTAACCAACAAATGATATAAAGAAGTGAATGTTCTCCTTAGGTTTACTAACCATAAAGTGGGTGAAGGCACTATTTTTCATTATTTATTAAAAACATTAAAACTATTACTTAAAAATATTAGTAAAATATCAAAATATAATTTTAATTAAAAAATTAACGTATCAAACGAGATATTATTAATTAATTTTAATATTATATCATTCTAATTAATGATAATAATAATGCAGTATTTATTATGTAATAAATAAAAAATAATTTTTTGTAAATTTTATATTGTATCGTCTAAAAATATTTTAAAATAATAATTTTAGACTCAATTGATTTATTAAATAAGATATTAGTTCGTTAATTTTAATATACCACGTTATTCTATTTATAATCTTAATATTTTAATAATTATTTTGAAACTTTATTTTTTGTTTCGTTTTGGTACATAAATTTATTTATTTTTTTCTAAATATATACTTAACGTTTAGTTTGGTTTTATTTTGATACATCGTCATTAAAATGTCACATCAACATATCTTTAAGTTTTTAATTGTGTGATACCAAAATTCATTATAGTTGCTTCTTGGTTCTTGAATCCGCTTCTTCGTCTTCTTGTTCTTCTCCCATCGGTAATTTCATATTTGCTCCATCCAATTCGTTTTAACTGAATCTTACTCTTTTCTTAGATATCCATGCTTTAATGGTGTTGTACCTTTGCTTAGCGTCTGTCGGTTGTACAGCTGTCGTAACTATTTTTCGGCAGGGACAATCGTTTGTTTGTTTTAAAAAACAGTTGCGACTTTTAATTTTGAAAATGGGTGATTTTGGATTAAATTGGATTAAATCGAAAAGAGTTGCCATTAACCTTTGATTTAGGTAGGTCGAATACCTAAAAGCGTCTTTTAAAAACAATTTTTATGAAAAATCAGTTTTTAAGACAAAAGCTGGTCTGCGTTTACCAAAGATTCGATTAAAACGGGTTCGGGAGTCGGTTACGCGCGGGGAAGGATTAACACCCCCACAGCGCCCAAAATTAGTACTGTGTCACTTACACGTTGTCGTAATTGGTGGAAATCCTGAATTGAATATAAAATTAAAACATGATCCTTTTTTTTAGAAAAAAATATCGAAGATATTATTTTGCAAGAATGATTCTCGAAAATACATTCTTTGTCAGTCAAAGTGTGTTTTTATGAATTCTCCATTTGAAAGATCATTATCATATTTTTATCGAATTATATATTTAATACATAAAAAACATCATGAACATATTAAAATATTTAATAAACTATCATACACATGCAACATGTATAGATTTGCATTTAAAATGAGAAATAATAAAATAGTCATATATAAAAATGTATAAAACATATTATACAACTAACTAATTAAAAATTATCATCTGCACGCATATATAGGTATATAAACTACAAAATGAACATATAAATGAGACAAACATTCATATCAAACAAATTACACTAAAAGTCAAGCAAATTGATGTTTAAATTAAAGAAATAATAAATTATAATAAGGAAAACAAATATCACCCTCCAGACAAACATAAACCACTTTATACAAATTCACAGCTACAAAATAGATGATAATTTTCCCACTATCCCGAGAAAGTAACAAAATAGTCAAACAAATTGTTTAAATAAATAATAAATTATCATGAAATGTTTGCAAACATGGAAACACACATCTAGGAAAATTAGATTAAGTCGAAACATGAACACAAATATAAAATATGATATATATACCATACCAAATTACGTGCATCATGCGACATATACAAGTATATATTTACAAATTACATAACACATACATAGTAAAAATCTAATATGATGACTTGAATGAACAAACGACAAACATGACAAGCCAAAGTATGAAAACTTAACTATAAACGCAAGAACAAAAATATAATAGCCTTAAAATTGTAGATTCTAATAAACAAAAGTCAGATTAAATCATACATGCATAAAGGCTAAATAAAATTAGTGCATAAAGTGTAAGGTGCAAATAAATAAATACAGAAAGTTTAGGGATTAAACTAAACGAACATAATATTAAATAAACAAAAAAGGTAATGACTAAATAAAATAAAATAAAACCCCAAGAATGAAATCTACGAACAAAGCTGTAAATAAAACATGCATTCAGGACTTAATCTAAGTAAACTAAAAATTTACAAGCAAAATCAACAAATATTAAAAGGTACCAAATCAAAAGAATGACTAAAATGGAAATACCAGAAAACTATGAAGGATCATGGAGAGCATTTGCTCCTTTAGCCTTTGAAATGGATTCCACTGTGATTGATCTCCAGACTCCAAGTCACTTAAGGAATATATATATATATTTAACATATTTCATTTTCCAATTTCAAATTGAAATTAACGCAAAATATAGTTCTTCACAGGTTCATCCCAAACCCAGAAAACGATGGTCTCCATCGTTCATCAACCACGTCTCCGTCGTGGGTTGACTCCGACAATCACTCGCCGTCGTCAGAGAAGGGGAGACCAATATCAACCGAAAGATCTCCATTCCGAGAATAGATCCAGACCCCGATGGGTCTAAAACGCCTCCAAACGCTGCAGATAGTGATACTTGGAACTCCGATTACTCAAATAAGCTAGGCAAAATTCTAATTCCTATTTTATTTACTGGTTATATTTCATTTCCATATACACACAAAACACTGAAAAATAAAGATGAGAAATACCAAAAAAATGGTGTGTTTTGTATAGTTTCTTGAATTACAAAAAAAATGAAAATAGGAATCAACTACCATGTTTACACTGTCTTTCTTCTTTTCCCCGTGTAAAGAAAACCGAGCCCCTCTTTTTCTTTCCTCCTCCACTCTAATAATCAATTCCCCGTCTTTTCTTTTCTTTATGACCAAGACCCTCCTGATTTTATTGTTGAAATCTTAATCGAATCTCCTTGGATGAATCTACATTTTCTTTGTTTTTGGTATGATGTTGATGGATTAGGTGAAATCATTAATTTGACTTGACTTTGGTGCATGTGACTTGATGAATTCGATTGAAATGGCCCGAGCTGTTGGTGAGTATAAGATCTTGTCGTTGACACAGAAGTTAATTAGAGTTGACGGTAGCTTTAGCTGATGGCTTTTAGGGTTTCATAACCCTAATTCAACTGGGTCGAGTTTATTGTTCGGATTCAAATTTGGGTCTTGGGTGTTATTATCTGTTGGGCTCATGATGCTTATAATCTGGGCTAAAGTTGGGCTTCAGGTTAACTGTTGTAACTAGGTCTGCAAATGTAATAATAATAATATTAATAATAGTAATAGTAATAGTAATAATAATATTATTATTATTATTATAAACTCGTACAAAAACGGATGTCTACAAAAGTATATGTATTTTTTTGGGATAAAGTACATAACTGGTCAGCTATTATAAATATAAATATTGTTTTGTTAAGTTACTCTATTATTAAAAGTTAAAAATTATCCATCGATTATAAATGGATACTTTGTTAAATTTTTAACTATTAAAAATTATAAAATAATCATCCGACTATTTTTGTGTATCAAATATGTTCTTTTCCATTAAAAAATTAATATTTTCCTAAGTTGGACGTTAACCTATTAATTGTAATATGAAAAAATATAATCTAAAAATCTTAAACGATTATACAATTCAAACAACTATAGGGTCAAATTTTATTATATCTCAATCATTAGGTTAATGTCCAGCTCAAACGACCGTCAAATTTTAAAGAAAATGATGAGTTTGGAATATACAAATAGTCGAGTGATGATTTTATAATTTTTAATAGTTCAGAGAGTCAACAAAATAATATCTTATGGTCGGAAAATTATTTTATATTTTTTAATAATAAAGGGACTAAAAAAGTAATAACTTATAGTTGATGGACCATTTATATTCTTTGCCCATTATTTAGTGTTGATTATTCTCTGGGCTGCTCACACATACATTTTTCGCTCTTAGACTTTTAACCTATTTTTTCTCTTTTTCTTCTAATTACAAAAAGGTTAGTTTAAAGTTGAAAATGTTTAAAATAATTTTAATTTTTTTTATTCGTGTTTCATTAATTATTTTTTTTTTAAAAAGTAATGAATTATTGATTTGAAAGGGATTCGCAGAATGTAAAGGATGGAGGCTTTTTAACAGAGGCTACATATCTCAAGTAAAAAATTATTGTTATTTTTTTAATATTTCAAATTCGAATATCATTAATATTAAGGATATAAAATTTAATATTAAATTATTAAAAATTATATTTTAAATATATATTATTTTATACTTATTAACCGCTCACAGCTTAATAAATAAATAAAAAAGACATAATCCGAATGGCTCAGGTTAGGCTGTACTGAACAACTTGCACTACTAGAGCGTGTTCAATGACTGTAGGGGTAGTATTGGAACTGAGCGGCCTTTTTGTTTTCTAGCATTTGGACTCACCTACGTCGTCGTTGTCTATGATAGGATGAAAAATTATTTGTTGAGGTAAAGTATTTTTTACAATATTTTTGGAATATGGTTAGATTATTTGACATTTTTGGGAAGATGACTGGATCATTCAATGTCTTCTGTATTATTATTCTATTAGGTTTAGCATTCAAACTATATGCAGTATGAGGAAGATTCTCGCGTTTTCCCAAAGACGTCAGCCACCAAGTGATCTTCTCTCATCTATTGTTCATTTTACTCTAATTGAGAAAATAATTTTTCAACACCCATATGAATTATTTTTTTCTCTATCACGTTATCCCATTAAATTTGCCAAAATTGGATAAAAGATGAGATTTTTTTTCCATAAACAATTTTAAACTATTTCTGTTAATCTTTAATTATTTGTTTGAATATTAAACATGAACCAAGCGACCTTCTTGATAAATGAATTATTATTATTTCTTAAGGTTTCGGGTTTGAGCATCAAGAATGTCAGGGGTGTGAGCGTTCAATGTCAAATACTTAAGAGTTATATTTGAACATATACTACTTTATATCTAACGTAAATTAATCAAAGAAAAGAATATTAAAGTTTAATTTATAATTATTTTTAGTTTTTTTTTTTTTTTTGCATTTTGGAAAAATTTAGATTAATGGAAACATGTTAGGTGGTAGGTGACAAAAATAAAATCAAAATTCAAATGTTACGTGGCTCAAGTCGATCAGTACAAATTATGCTAAGGTGCAAAATGGAAAAATGAATATACTCTAGGGGGCCAAAATGAGATTAAAAAATGTTTAGGATTTAAATGGGAACACGTAAACTTGAGAGGTTAATTTATGAATTAAACCAAAATATTAAATAAAAATACATGACAATAGATTAAACTTCTTTGTTAAAAAAACTGTCAGTATATAAAAAAATCTTAATATATATATATATATATATATTATATTTCTAAAATAGAAAATACCACGGTTTGATATATTTTATGTTAAGTAGTCTTATATTTTAGATTTTTTTCTGTGTTTTTTTTATATTAATAATGTATTTTCTTCTAAAATTTATAAGATTGTTTTCCTCTAAAATTTTACAAGTTTATCTCACTCTTAACATAAATTATTGTGTCCGTTCTTGCTAAACACTACCTCCTCAAAGACGGGAAAAAATGCGAATCAAAATCAATTCTAACTACTTGAATTTAATTTATTTATATAAAATAAAATTAAATTGCCTAGTGGCTACTTATATTGTAAAAATTAGGAGAAAAAATAAATGTCGGAAGTGATTGGAAAAGTATTCAACTTGCAAGCGTATACATTTATGAAAATTAAGTTTTCGTCTAACATTACGTATAAAAAGTGTTTTTAGGTTTAAAAAATTCCGGAATAGGTGGCGGATCTATTTTTTATTTGGAAGGACACGTGTCTATCTTAAAATCTTATTTTTTTAATTATTTATTCATTTTATTGATTTTGTTTATATTTTTAATATATATATGTTTTCACTCTAAAAAATATTTCTAGATTCTTCACTATTTAGAATCATAAATAATACTGAATAAATAATTTTTGAAGAAAAAAATGAGTTTGAGTACTTTCCAAATCCAAACGTAAAAATTAAAAAAAATAGTTTTAGATTTATAAAATACTTTTGATGTCACATTTTTAGATAAAAAATATTTAAATTTTATATATTTTTGCCAAACACATATAATCAACATATTTATTTATTAATTAATAAATATATTTTAAAATTTTTATTATATTTTAAGTTGATATATTTCATATATTATAATATTAAAAAAATAAATATCACTTAAATATATATTTTTGACGTATATTATATTTAAAATGATTATTTATCTTATCAAAAAAGCATATTTTAACCAAAATATTATACACTTGAACTAAAATTTCGAAATACCTTTTCACAACACTTTTCGCAATGCTAAATTAGCCGTAATTCAATAAAAATACGAAAACTTCTGACATAACTCTATTATACTAAATATAATATGAAAAGGTATTTAATATACAATACAAAATAATATATAATGTGAAAATAATATCAATACGACACAAAGATGTGATCTCTATGACGCGCTCACATTCATGCAAGAGTGTCTATTATCATGCCGTACCATACCGGTTTCTTAATCTTTCTAAAACTTTCTGTGGCTGTGTCACGTACTGTAGTTTGTGTTATTGTTTTGTGCTTCCTAGCTTGTAAACAATCATATCCGATGTTTTTGCTATGCATGTACCATAAAGAAACTCAGAGAAGAACTGACAAGGGCACTAATGGAAGTGAAAGATGGCAACATTGTTGAGGGTGGAACAGAGCATAGTATAAATAGCGGTTGTGGCATCTGTCGCGGTTGCGGATGCTGTGGACGTTACGTAACGTGTTGCAGCTGTCGCGAGCGTGATTTTTTAACATGTTGCGGCTGTCGCAGGCAGTTGCGTTACGTTAATATTACGTCGCGATGACCTTCAAAACCGTTACGATGCAGCCGTTACACTGCGTTGCGGCCACAATTTAATACCATGGAACAGAGGGTTCAATTGAGACATTCAATGACCTTATGAAGGAGATGACGTCGAAGCAGCAAGATATAAAGGCCTTTGCTTTCAAGACTAAGGCCATGGTATTTTGCTCTTGCTCTTTTTATTCTCGTCTTTATATACCTGCATGTCCATTAGTAAAAAAATTAACTTAGGACTGTTTTTCCTCTTGATGTTCATAGGTTTCTCTGGACAAAGGGTGTTTGCATTCCATTTTGCATGTCTATTGCAATGTATTTCGTAGTTTTCAGAGGATTATGTTTATATCTTTGTTTCTAGCTTTTTACTTTTTATTGTCAATCACTAATTTGTACAGAGGTTTTCTGTGTTTCTCTGGACAAAGGCCTTCGATATCTCTCCCGTCTGCCTTCATGTTTTGATCACTGAGAACATTAAGACCATTGTCCTTCTCCCTCATGCAACTCCTCTTCCACACTGTCCACTGAACGGTATGTATAATCCACTCTGCATTATCCTCTACATTACTGAGAGTTCCAAATAAGACAACCCTGACTCAGGCCATTGGTATCAATTGGCCTTTAAGTGGTTTCCAACTTGCACATGAGCTGCGGTCTTATCTCCTTTTCACAGGTTTCGCTGCACAAACTAACTATATAGGACTATATTATGGTAAAGGAACATAGTCAGGGTTCTTGCTAGATGAAATAATCTCAAAGAACCCATTTCTGATGTGCTTTGAAGAATTTTTTCTATTTAATTAAATTAGTGCTTTGACAAATAGTTTTGACAGCAATTTTGCCTTTCATTCTTCTGAATCCCAATGAAGATGCCCAAGTGTTGTGCTAATTTTGTTGCTTGTGATAAACATTTGTTTTATCTTACGTATATTGCTTTTTGATTTGATTTTACTCCCCAAATCAGCTTTGCAGTTTGTATTTGCTTGTAGGTTCTTATGCATGCATATGGCATGAGTGCTTATTATTATGATTTATGAAGGGTGGTATTAGGAAATTCTGTGTATACATAATGTATTTTGTTATTTGTTCAGTATGTAACTTACAAAATACTTAAACACTTCAAAATTCCTTTAATAAATTGAAGTACTTCCATTTTTTTTATTCCCAGCTTTTAGATATGGAGGAGAAGGTCCAGTCAGCAAAGAAGCGTGAGTTAATATACTGATATTTAGCTTCAAGGGGTGTCCCAAAGAGCCTACATTGTCTCTGCCTGAAATTGGCAGAAGAGTATGCTGTAAATGCAATGGCACGCTCTCGTTTACCTCCTCCCGAACATGTTTCTCGCCTTGCCGACACATCCTTTCACCATATTGTGCTTCTGACTGACAATGTCCTGGCTGCTTCTGTTGTGATATCCTCTAAGGTTGAAATAGCTTTAAATCCTGAAAAATTGGTGTTTCAAATAGTAACAAACAAGAAAACTTACACCCCAATGCATGCCTGGTTTGAAATAAATTCGCTGAAGTCAGCGGTAGTGGAAGTTAAGGGATTACATCAATATGATTGGTCTCAGAAAGTGAATGTTGGAGTTAAGCAGATGTTGGAAATACATCACTTGATTTGCAGTCATTACTACAATAATCTGAAAGAAGAAGACTTTGAACATGAGGGAGAGCATCGAAAAGTTTTCGAGGCTTTAAACCCCGGCTGCCAGTCCCTTATGAATCATCTTCGGATTTATATCCCTGAAGTAATTACTCTCAAATTCTGCATTGAATTTTCTGACAAGTGATTTGTTCTGAACCTTAAAATTCGGTTGCCATTTATATGTTCTAACTTTCATGGTTTCAACAGCTGTTTCCGGAACTCAACAAGATAGTATTCTTGGATGATGATGATGTTGTAGTACAACATGAAATTTCATCTTTGTGGACATTGGATCTCAATGGGAAAGCCATTGGTGCCGTTGTCGACTCATGGTGTGGGGACAGCTGCTGTCCAGGAAGAAAATACAAGGACTACTTGAATTTTTCGCACCGGATAATTTCATCCAACCTCGACCAAGATCGTTGTGCATGGCTTCCCGGTATGAATGCCTTTGATCTTGAAGCTTGGAGGAGGAGCAACATCACATCTTCTTATCATAAATGGTTGAAACTTGCAAGTAAATTGTCTGCTTCTGATTCATCTATCTGGTGATAAATGTAGTGTTTCTTTCCATTTAATTACTTGAACTCGATATCATCTGTGTTTTGCACAGAGCCTCAATTCAGGGTTCACTCTATGGCAACCGGGAGTGCTTCCACCAAACTTACTTGCTTTCGAGGGACATGTGCATCCTATTGATCCGTTATGGCAAGTGGCTGGATTAGGCTATCTTTCCTCATCCGCTCAAGGACAGATATTTGAGGCTGCTGCTGTTTTGCATTTCACTGGTCCTGCCAAGGCATGGCTCGAGATCAGCTCTCCTGAACTACGAAGCCTATGGAGCAGACACGTAAATGTCTCAAACAGCTTTATCCGCAAATGTAAGGTTTTGCATTAGGGTTTGAGGACAAAGTTCTATGTGACTTTTACACTCATTTCATATTGGGAACCATGAAAACCGGCAGTAACACAAGATGGAAGCAAGCAGAGGGAAGACGGTTTTGCCTTCAGTTTCTGCATATAGTAGGAAATTGGTGACTTTCATATCGATAATAGAAAATAGAAGGTACCTCATGATGTATGTATGATATAGTACATATCTTCAGGCTTCAAGATATATAATTAATAAATTGATGATTATAACAATATGTGGATCGAACAACTCTCGTTGTAATTTGATAAAAGAGTGGATCCATGTGAATGTCGGCAAGTTCAGTGGTAGGTTTTGTTAGTAGTATGTCTTAATTGCATTTGATGTAATAAGAATTGTTGAAATTTGAAAGTCAAGAATGGGGCTGAATGGGTAAAAAAGGGAGGCAGGGGCATCGAATTCGATGCCCAATTTGGATGAAAATGATAATTGGGATTTTTGCACTTTAGTCCCTGAATTTTAAGATATTTTTAAAGATTAGTCCTTAAGCTTCAACTATAAATATCCTAACTCATTTAGTTTCAAAATCATCCCAAATCATTTCTTTCTCCCAATATTAAATAGTTTAGAGAGTTTTCTTGTGAGTTATAAGTGTTTTGTAAACACCTGTAATTTTTCTCTCTTTAGTAAAAGATCTGCGGCAGTTCGGAGACGTAGGCATAATTGGCTGAACTCCGTTATCAATTTCAGATAGAGAAAATAACCTCAGTGACCAAAAATCCCATATAATATACGATTTTAACCAACTTTTTCCGGATTTGCCAAAATGACCAACAAAATCGCAATGCGATCGCTAATTCGCAACGCGATCTCCATTATCGCAAATTCGCGTTGCATTTCGCGTTGCGATAGTTGGAAATCGCGTTGCGATGGTATACAATGTCGTTGCGATTTTCCAAATTCGTAATGCGAATAAGTAAATCGCAACGCGAATTGGGAAAATCGCAATGCGATACTGACTATCGCAATGCGATAATACAAAATCGCAACGAGATACTGACTTTCGCAACGCGATTCTGACTTTCGCAACGCGATTTACATAGCGCCATTCGTATTAACGCGTATTTTTTTTTTCAAATTCCAAACACTAATTTTTTCTTAATAAATCGGAAACTGAACCGTCCACAGTAATCGCAACTCATAACCTTAAACCCAAAAACACAACACTCAGTCCCATCTCCATCTCTCACTCTCTACGGCGAAATCCGTCCCCATCTCCGAAGATTTCCGTCCCCATCGCCGGCGAAATCCCTCACAACCATTCACAGTCAAAAATCCCTCACAATCATTCAGAAATGGAAAATCAACCTCCGAGGGTTAGTTTTTTTATTTTTATTTTGAAAATTTTGCATTATTTTAGGTTTTCATATTGAGATTGATGATAAGTTTACTGGTAATTTCAATAATAGATTAACCATTTCACTTAGATTTCTTATTAAATTCATTCGATTGCTGCCAATACTGCTAAACTGTTTAGCCTGTGAAGTTAGTATTTGTCTTTGCTTTGTCTTTTGGTTGAAGTAATGCAGAAGAAGAATAGTTTCGAGAATGAAAATCGCAACGCGGAAATAACTATCGCAACGAGATAATCGCAACGCGAAATAAAAAACGCAACGCGAAACAAAAATCGCATTGCGATTTTTATTTCGCGTTGCGATTTTCATTTCGCGTTGCGATTTTTATTTCGCGGTTGCGATTTTCATTTCGCGTTGCGATTGTCTGGTCGCGATAGTCATTTCGCGTTGCGATAGTCATTTCCGCGTTGCGATTCTCATTATCTCGTTGCGATTTTCATTTCAACCAAAAGACAAAAACAGTGTTGCAAATTTTAGTTTCAAGAATAAACTACTATTTATGTTTATTGTTTTGTTTTTGGTATATCTTGACAGTGTAATTTTTGGTATATCTAACTTGGTATGTTTATTGTTTTTTTGTAGAAATTTTTTTCGGCTTCATTGACATTAAGGAATAAAGTTAGCCTAGCCACTACAATTGCTTCGAAGCTTTCACCTGCACAAAGAAAATTGTTTGAAGAAACCTGCTTCGGGCCATGGCTGAGAGTACATAATCCGGGTGGAGATGCTAGTTTGACCCATTTGTGGCTTCAGACCATGACCGTTACGATTTTCATTTCGCATTGCGATTCCCTCGTTGCGATTTTCATTTCGCATTGCGAAATTAGCGTTGCGATTTTCATTTCGCATTGCGATTCTCTCGTTGCGATTTTCATTTCGCATTGCGATAGTAATTTCAGCGTTGCGATAGACATTAAGATGATTTCC